CTTTTTTTTTTTTTGGTACCAGGGATCGAACTCAGGCCCTTGTGCTTGTGAGGCAGGCAGTGGAACCACTGAGCTAAATCCCCAACCCACTGCAGCACTTTTTGATTCTCAACTGGGCAAACTTTGTAGGCTTCCCACCTGTGAATCGTCACAGGCTTGGAGAGGCTAGTTTATCTCAGTTATCGTGGAAGTGAAACACATTCCTGCTGTTGAAGCTCTTGATCTCTTCCCAGGACTTCACTGTACCCCGCTATAGGTGGACCAAGAACTCCAAATGAAAATAAAGGACAGAGATGCTCATGTGAATTTTGGCAGGATCCTCCTTTTCCTGGGTTGGGACAGGTGCATCACAGCACTGTGTGAGCTTGTTAACAAGGGTCTGAACAAAACCAAAGGATTTGGTTCTCAGCACTGTCCTGTGAATGAGTTCAGAGGAGCCACAGAAGGCAATGGGGTGGGTCATTACTGGTCATTACTACTGGGTAGTATCAGTTAGAGGACTCTGTGTGACTCCCAAGGTCTCCCATGCACCCCTTCCAGCTTGTTCTTGTAGGCTAATCTTAATTGGGAGTAAGGCCTGACTCTTCCTCAAGATGACTAAATACTTGTGAGACCTATAGCTCTTCAATTTTTTAAAAGGCAAGAAAGTGGCAGCTGAAACCATATGAATTTTTCCAGAGCATTGTCTAGGGAAATGGATGGCCTGGAGGGATGGAGAGAGGAGGCTAAGAGGCAGAGGAGCTCAGGGACTGCCACTGCCTTTCCAACAAGCAAGCACGTGAGTCTAAGAGCAAGCCACCTGTGTGTATCGAAAGATAAGGAAGGGTACAAAGGCCAGAGCAGTGAACCTAAGAGAAACAACTACAGAGGAGGCCGAGGTGACCTTGGCGTTTGGAGGAGGTGAGCAAACATGAGCAAAAGGCAGTTTCCAGGAGACCTGCCAGACAATTTAGATAGCATCTCTTGGAATCTGGCAAGGGCAGCACCTCTTTCAGAAAGGCCTTGTTGACCCCTGGCCCTCGCTTGAATACTGGGTGGCTCAGCCACTATTTAGCTCTTCCCGTGACACATGGGCCATCTGTACACATCTGAATTTCCCACCAGACGGAGCCTGTTGTGAGACATTGGGCCTTAATCAACCCTGTTTGTAAGGCCAGAGCCAGCTGCAATGCCTAGCACAAAGGAGTTGCTCAATTAAACTTTGGTGAAAGGAACTGAAAATAGATTTAGATTTTCTCCAAATGTTTCACTTTCCTTTTCTTTCTTTTTTTTGAGTGAGATGGGAGGCTGTTGAAGGGTTTGAGTAGCAAATGGAGAGTTGTCCAAATTTAATATAAAATTCAGATTCAAAGCAAAGATTATTTTAATGTTCTGGACAAATTCACAGTCTACTTCAAAATATCTTGTTTCCATCTGGGGGTCAGCAGAACTGTGTATAGTAAAACTGCTATGATATTATCTCTTTTAAAGAGGACAATGAGGGCTGACTTGAAAGTTAAATCCTGCGGTTGTTACAAAGTGCTGAATGAGTTTGAACAGCTTTATTAGGATATACTTTTCATAATGTATATGCAGAGAAAAAGTGACAGATGTGGGCAACTCAACGTAACCCCACACCAGAGCAAAGAACAGAACATTTCCAGTCCCCCCAGGTTCAACCCTCAGCGTCCCATTACTGGCCCAAGCGCAGAAGTACTTTGGCCACAAAGACGCTCCATTCAGCACATTTTCCAATGAAGCCACCTTCACCTTAACCCTGGGTGAAGGCTTTGCGAAGCCCACCTCCTCAGCTCCCATCGTGCTCCTGCAGTCACAGATGCCAGCCTAGTGGACACTGTGGGATGCTCCCCAGACCTCCTTCCATGAAGGAAGGGTTAATCAGTGAGTGCTCGGCAGGTATAAAGCACTGGCTCCGCCAGGGTCACAGCCCTGCCTGGGGACACCCACTTCCAAGGACAGTGCATGGCTCAGAGGTCAGGACAACTTGGCCCGGCTTGAGGCAATTTTGAAGGGCCATTCCAGCTCAGAGCTCCCATAGGTCAGCTGCCTGGCTGCCACCAGCACAGCCCAACTTTTCCCTTGGCCCTGTCCCACCCCTCCCCTTCACTGTCTGCAGGGAGAGACACAGAGTGCTAGCAGCCTCACAGAGCATCATCGTTGCTACCTATAGCCTTCACACAGTGCTGTGCCATGTACGAAGTACTTCCCTGCACAGTGTCTTGTTTATCGTCTTCATCTGATCATCCAGAGGTTCACTTGTTTACCCAACAGATGATGGGAAGCACCTGTTCCATGGAGCAGTGAAGAGATGATGGAAAAAGTCTATTCCTTGTCCCAGAGAGCTCACAGGCTGGTGCAGCAGGCTGGGGGCGAACCGGAAGGTTGTCGCAGGCACTACAGGGAGGGTCAGGAACTGTGAAGTGGACAGAAGGAGGTGGATCAGGGAGGGCTTCCTGGGGAGGTGAGGTGCCTAGATGGACTTGGAACCTGCAGCCTGGAGCAATAGGGTCAACAGGGCACTGACTCCCAGCCGGAACGTCACCACGGGGCCCGACAGCAGTATCAACCTGCATGTAGAGCACGCTGCCCCAGGTCCTCTTGGTTGAATCCAGGATGGCAGGAAGTTGGAGAAGCCCAGCTGATCTGCCTCTTTCCAGAGTGGACTCCCAGGGACTCCCAAGCAGTTGAGCTGGAAAGAAAGATAGGAAAGTGGGGAGGGGAGGAAGGAGTTTCTGTGGGGGGGGGTGTTCCAAACAAAAGAATTTCATGATCTTAGGAAGCTGCCCTAGGTCCTACTTCAAGTACTGGATTAATAATATAAATCTTTCTCTGTTACTTTGCAGAGTCAACAGGATTTTCTGAATTTTGTATCTCTAGTAGGCAAAGATCCTTGAGCCAACAAGATGAAAAAGTACATAAAAGTGAGATGTTTTCATTAATCTGAGTTCAGGGCGTGTGAGCACTTGAAAAAATATTTTTTAATGCTTAATTGTGGGTCCAAACTCATCTCCACAAAAGAACAATGAACGCCAGTTTGTGTTTTAGGATGTTGCAAAGATGAAAATATATCCTGGCTATTTAACAAATTAATCACCCTATAAGCTAAAGACAAATGGGATTCCTAGGGCAATAGTCAGCTGGTAATTTAATGCCCAAGTTTTTTCTGATCAATAAACCATTGGCCTGTTAGAATATTTAAGTCATGCTTAAAGTCATTCAGGAAAAAAAAAATCTATTAACTTAAGTTCTTTGAAAGCATGTATTTAATTTAAAATGTCATTTTCTATTTAAGCATTGCATTTTACAGTATTCTAAAACAACCCTGATTGTAACTTTATTTAAAAGGGTTTAAAAAATATTTTGAATCTGAAAGACATCATAATTTATTGTATTTTAGCCAACAAATACTCAATTGCCTACACTGTGTGCCCCCACACTGGGGAGCAACATTCATGTTGTGTTTTCAAGAAATGGCCCAGGTCTGTGTAAGGCTCTGGACACCAAGGATAAACAATAGGTCTTGCAACTACAGGAATAAGTTCAGGGCACTGCAGAGCCTGGAAGAGGCCACCACCCTCCCTGTGGGATTTAAGAAGGGGCCAGGTGCTGACGGCTAGAATGTTACAGTCACAAGAGTCTCTTTGAAGATTATCCCAATGAACAATTAAGAGACTTGTCCAGGCTAAGCCAAGTGACTTTAAGACCAGAGTCATGATTTATTGCCTGTCCAAACTTAGTGTGCTTACACTCATGGGTTAAATGCTATGCAATTTATTGGTGCCTTTAAAAAAAAAAAAAAAGCTTATAATAAAATGTATTTGAGATCATGTTATGATAAGAAACATTTGGCATGTCGAAGGGGGAAAGAAAATGCAAGTGTGCTGTTGCAGAATTCTCCCCTATAAAAATATCTGACTTTGTGTGCTCATCCTGGGAGGGAGCAAAGCTTTAAAGAGTTCCAGTTGGAGTCAGTGTGTAAGCCAGGCCTGCTTAATGCAAACAGGCTGCAGAACGTGCATGTTCTGTCGAAAATGATTTCCAGCCCAGCACCTTGGACGCGGAAGCCCGGTTAATGTCCCCACTACGTCTTATTTGTTACTATGGCCTCTTGTGGGGGCTGGTGGCAGCTGTGCAAAATCTTCCTAAAGTCATAGTACTGTGAACCTTCAAAGAGGAGAACAAAAAAGCCACTTTGGAAGTTGCTTCCTTTAGGAATAGATGGGCATGTTAGTCTCTAGTGACACAGACCAGGAAAATGGAACGGGAAGCCTTCATGTGTCTTGATTTCCTCCCCACTGATAATAGATCTTCAGATGTAGCAGGAAGTGTGAACGAGCATCCATTTTGGAGAAATCTTCTAGAAGACCTTGGAAGGGTTGTGCATTTGTATGTGGGTGCTAACGGAGGCACAGCATTTATCTAACCTCCTTGCCCTCAAAACTTAAAGGTTTTTATCGTAGGGCAGTAAAAAGCAATAATAGTTAACTTTCTGTCAAGGGTCTGCTGCATCGCAGACACTATAGACCTTCTGCAGGTGTTGTGTGAGCTCAGAGAGAGCAGGTGCTGTGGGGCAGACGGTGAAACACCCGCTGAGTGCTAATTCGGCCCAGGGTTTGACGCTTTACATCCATTATCTCATGCAATCCCCACAGGATCCTGTGGGGAAAAGGCAAGTGGGATCCCCATTTCACAGATGGGAAAGCTGAAGTTAAGAGAAGCTATTGAGGGGCCCAAGTCACATGACTTGTAGCCAAACTCTTAACCAGCTCGATGGCTTTGCTCTCCAGCAGTGGGCTGGCACAGGCAAAGGGCAAGGGAGGGAGCCATCAGCCTGGATTCTCCAGCACTACCTGTGCCACCACTCTGTAAACTACGTCTCAGAGAGCAGCGCTGCTCAGTCACAAGGCAAGGAGCAGCGCTGCTCAGTCACAAGGCAAGGACCCAAGTGTGCCGTGCCCAGAGCTACAATAGCTGAAGTCGGTAGGAAGCAGTTTGAGAAAACAGCTTGTAATCAGAAAAACCCCAGGTTGTGAGAAGCCCATTTCCTCATCTTTCTTGGAGAAATGGAGGCGATTCTAAATTACCCAACAAATTAGTTCATTTTAATGTCAGAATGCATGGGGGGTTCTGAGGTGAAAGAAAAATAAGTGTAATTGCTTCTTTTTTCAAAGTCGCATATTACTTTGTTCATTATGAAATAATGAAGCATTATTTAATCCCATTATGAAGTAAATGAGATTGAGTAAATAGCACATCTGCATTCATGCAGTGACACAGAGTCAGGAAATGTTTATCCCGCTGACATTTAAAAATAGCAGCTCAATTTTTCTTAGTAATGAAATTGTAGGTGTTTTCATTATAAAAATATATTTTATAATAAATACAAATATAGCATTGTTAAATTACCTGTTAGGGAACTTGCTCACTGAAGGCTTTATCCTAGCTGGTTGGGCTTTGAAATGCCGATTCACTTCTGCAAAACCAAAGCCTATCTGTATGCAGTGATCAAAATGAAACAAAATTATTAAAGAAGGTTTAAAAAAAGAAAATTCTGAAAGACTAGGGTTAAGTCCGTGGAACCCTATTCTAGTGTGTACACCTGCCCTCTTGTGGCACACATCTGTACAGCTACTGTGCACTTTTAAAACCAAGAAATAGTATGTCTCAACCACATTCCAAGTGGTTGTCCCTACTCCTAATCACACAGCCTTGTCCCCAAGTAGACCTGATTTTTTTCAAGAACCATTTGCTACATGCCTTCTCTGCTAGGCATTAAAACCTTCAAGGTGCTTAGTCTCTTGGGAGATAGCAATACTGGAGCAAAACCCCTTCACTGGCATTGCATTATTTTTTTTTTCTTCTGGGTACTAGGGTTGCATACCAAGTTACTTCGGGACTTAATGGTGCAAGACAACCCTTTGACAAGTCAGGAATTTAGACAGGAGATAATCTGGGGCCTCACGTGAAGACCCAAAGGCTGGGACTGAATACATCTGCAAGTTTGTTCTCCAAGGTCCACTGATTGAAGCTGGCTGTGGGTTGGGGGCGTCAGTTTCTCCTAGTGTGAATGGTCTCTCCGTGAGAGCTTCTTTGGGCTTCTTCAGAGCAGAGAGACTATTTCCCAAGGCTGAGAATTGGGAGAAGAAGGGGATGCCAGACAGAAATTCTATCCTCTTTTTTTATACTTCTGGGAATTGAACCCATGGCCTTTGCGATGAGCTACATCCCCCTCTCTGGAGACAAGGTCTTCCTGAGTCAGTTAAGTTGCCCAAATTGGACTCAAAATCCTCTTGCCTTAGTCTCCCAGAATGCTGTGATTACAGGCATGCACCTCCATGCCTGGCTTCTATCCATTTTGTAATCTAGTCTCAGAAGTTAGATATGCAGTACGCGTTGAATATATATATACATATATATATATAGTGATATATATATCACTATAATTATGTACAATTATTATCTGTTATTTAAAAAGTAAATGAAGGAGGATGGGCATAGGTTCTTTATAAATACTACACCTATTTATATAAAGAGCTTGTGCATTCATGGATTTTTGCATCCTCAGAGTATCCCTGTGGGTACTAAGGGATGCAAAAACCAAAACTTATACAAGTTACCTCAAGAAATGGGGCTTTAGTGTATAAAGATGGTAAAGTAGAAAACTTAGGGACATTTGGGATCTGTGATAGCTTTTTGATCTCATGATTGAGGGAATCTGTGGATCCTGATTCTATTTTGATGCCGTAAATGACCCTCTGTGAAGCTCTTGACCCATCCCTCCCTTTGTGACTCTTGTTTCCCTCCCCATCTTCTCATCCAGATTTCAAGTAAAAAATCTGAGTGATCTAGCCAAAAAAAGTTACAAATGATCACTCCACTTCTGCCATGTTGTTGGTCACAGGAGGCCAGCCCTCGTTCAGTGTGAAAGTGGACCGCTCAAGGGCATGGACACAGGCCATGGGTCCTGGGACCATCTGAAGACTGTCCACTGCACACTGCAATAGTGAGCAGGGATCTCATGGCGGAGAACAGTGCCCGGTCCTAACATGCTCTCTGTGCAACTGTGGGCTTATGTTAGGGTTAAAACCCTCACCATCCCCCCTTGGACGTCTCTAGGAGAGAATAAAAGGCGATGTCCTAATAGAGGAAATTGTCCCAAGGAAGAAACTAAAGGGAGGGAAGGAAGGTGCTTTCTTGAAGATGGGGGAGTGGAGTGTCAGACCCTGGGGAAAGGTAGCAATGGATACTTCTGTCTATGCTCTTCTCCTCAGAAGCATCCCTCCCAGATCCCCCTTCCCTACCCCTTTTCTATCTGCATTCTAAGGGAATTCCATCAAGGACTTCGGGGAGACAGAGAAAAACTAATAAACATTTTTTAAAACAACAACAACAACAAAACCCCTCAATCCCACTAGTAACCCTGGAAACAGGCACTGATGCAACAGGCACCCTGAAAGGAGTTTTTAGCCAGGAAAGGTATGATCAAAAGGTCATGTCCAGTGATTACAACTGCAATTGATCTGAAAATATACTGCTATCTATAATTATCTGAGTACATCTCAAGTCTAAATTTAGATTAAAAGAATACATACGAGTGTTTTGATTCTTTAAAAAAAAAATAGCCTGATGTTCAGGAAGACAAAAACCTAATTCTGTGATCATTACTTATAAACAGTCTCAAAAGCCAGCCATGAGGCAGAAGCTCTTGGTGGTTAGGACTAGAACTAGGTCTAGGGCTAAGGTTAGCAGTAAGGTTATGGTGAGGGCTAAGGCTAGGGTTGGGTTAGCGTTGGGGTTAGAACCTAAGGTTAGGGTTAGGGTTATTCCTAGAGTTAGTGATAGGGCAAGGCTAGGACTAGGGCTAAGGCTAGGATTAGGTTTAGGTTTAGGTTTTGGGCTAGGTTAAGTTTAGCCTTAGGGTTATGGTTATAGCTATGGCTAGGGTTAGAGTTGGGTTGGTGGTATCGTTAGGATTATGGGCTAGGATTCGGATTTTTTCCATGGTTATGGTTAGGGTTGTGGTAGGGTTAGGGTGAGCTTTATGTTCAGTTTTTGGTGTAAGTGTAGAGTTCATTTATGATTGGGGTTAGGGTGAGAGTAAGGTTTGGCATAGTGCTAGGCTACATCTGTAGTTATGTTCAGTGTTAGGGCTAGAGCTAGTTTTAGGGATAGATTGCATTTGTTTTAGGGCTGGGTTTACAATTAGGTCAGGTTTAGGGTTTAGTTTAGATTTATGATTTTAGTTATTGGTTATTGTTAGTGTTAGGGCTGGGGCCTGAGCTAAGGTTTAGGGTTAGGGTTAGGGAAGCTAGGTGTGCAATTTGGGCAGTTCCAGGTTCAGAGGTTGGCTTGGGAAGTGAACTTAATCCTTTGACAAGAGGTTTTGATGATCTTCCTTGCAAGGTTCCCATACGGTCAGGTGAGTGTTTTAGAAGAATCACTCTGAGCAAGGTGACTTGCGAAGGAGCAACAGATTATACCAAGGATTGTGGGTAAAAGCTGTGTGAGAGAAGACTGGGGCAATAGCAATGGGAACAGAAAGAAGGAAATTATGAGCAATATTTTTCAGGCAGAATGATAAGATTGGGAAGGCTCCCAGGTTTTTGGCCTTTGAGATGATGCAGAGGATGGATTCTTTGGAGAAGGATAAGCTGGTCCGGGGAAGATCTTGAGTCCACATTTGGACTGGTTAAGTTTTTGAGCTTATAATATTCAGGGAGCAGGCCCAGGCCTGGCCCCATCCCAAGACATTCATTGTGTGTAAGCATTCTGGTGTGTCTGTATGGTTCCTAGCCACTGAAATGCTCAATCCTAGAGGGCAGAGACTTTCTTTGTCTTGTCTGGCACCTTGCAAGAGTTTGGCAGACCTTGCTTTGTCAACAGCTCATAAAATGCAAGAGAGGAGAAGGAGGGGGAGAAGATGGTCAAGACTATAACTTTGAGGACCATCATTTGAGAAATGGTTGGAAAAAGAAGTCAGGAGGTGATAGGAAAGGAAAGAGCAAGAGTGGCAGTCTAGCAGAGGCATTGTCCTTCAGATACATTTCTTGCCCAACTGGACACCATAGGCTAGGCTGGGTCAGAACTGGTTCTATCCACTTACATGTAGAATGGACAGTTGTGTGAATGTGAATCTTCTAGCTGTGCCTCCCAAGCTATTTTCTTTCTTTTTTTTTTTTTTTTGGTGTCGGGGATCAAACTTAGAACCTTGCACTTGCAAGGCAGGTGCACTGCCATGATCTAAATCCCCTGCCCCTCAAGCTATTTTCTTACTGAAGGTAGGAATTATATGCATGCTTTACTGCCCCTCTTTCCACTTGATCTCTACAGAAGAAACATTTATTGAGCATCAATTACCTAAAAGAATTCAAAAGGTGGAGCGACCTGAAGAAGATTTTTTTAAATGTATTTAATTAATTAATCATTTCTGCAGTATTGGGGACAGAACATAGGGAAGACTACTGAGTTACATTCCCAGCCCTTTTAAAATTTTATTTTGAAACAGAATCTCACTAATTTTCTCAGGCTGGACGTGAATTCTCGATGTTCCTGCCTCAGCCTCCTGAGTAGCTGGAGTACACCGTGGCACTCTGCTGCAGGTTTATTTGTTAATACCGGTGGCAACTTTGGACATCTGTAGAAATCCCTACTCTACGCATGGAAACTAAGGAATTCGGCTCAGTGATACTTCATTGAATTTTCAGGTTTCAGCTGATTTGCTTAGCATCAGAAGCCTGCATGATCCTTTTGTTCTGAGTAATAGTATCTGTTAAACAGTTAGCTAATTGCTTTACCCATTGACTTCTTTTATTAGTATGTGTTTGGAGTATATAATGTTTACATTCCTTGTGGGGAGTTAGTACAGGTACAGAACACATCTTCATTCCTTCTTTTATCCCCGTTTCCTCCCCTCCATCCATCTCTTGATCCCCTTCCTTTTTTTTTTTTTGTACATGTTTGCAGTACACAGTATTTCCATTCCTTGCATGGAGTCAGAATGAGTACACAGCACATTCTAATTCCGTCTTCGATTGATTTTTTAAAAAAATGTCTTATTACAAAACCAATACAGCAGTCAAAAATTTAGAAAACAGGGCAAACGATCTCCTCAAATCCTGCTCCCAGCAGTGGTTCTAAGTGGGATGCACAGTTGCAGTCTTTTGCTGTAAGCACATGGCTTTTTAGTGGTAAACGCAGTGTACCTCGTATCCTGCTTTTTTTCACTTAACATTATCTGATTCTTTTTTATGAGCAATGAAATTTGATGCGAGGTGCTGCTCCCACGGTATTTTGAAAGGCCGTTGATGGAAAGATGGGTGAGGACTTTCTAAACCCCATCAACTTCAGGGAATCAGGAAATTAAACTTTTTATTTATTGGTCTTTGGCTTTCCCATAAATGGACACAGTTCTACCTTGTTTGACTGGGTTGTAAAAGCAGACACAGGCCGGAGCAACCAAGGCGTG